GAAAAAATTAAGGGAGATTTAATCAAGGTATTCAAAATGATGCTGGATTTTGATAATACTTTCACCTTATTTAATTTTTCACTGACAGGTTCAATGGCAAGGTCAAATGGATTGAAGACAATTGGCAAAATGTAACACAGGGGAAACAAAAATACATCTAAATCTACAAGGCATGTTATGACAGGCTGGATAGGTAGATCAGGAAGATTCATTCTATGTTAGCTTTCAAAACGAAATTGTGCACATAGAGCCAAGAACTGGGAATACAGCTTGTTACTGTAATAAGTTATTGAGAAAATACTAGAATGGATTATGAAGGAACTTATAGCGAGGCACGTTGGGGTTCAGGGAGAGGCAACATGGTTTCATGAGGGGAAAAGAAATCATTTGACTAAGTTATTAGAATTCTTTGAAGAAATAACAAACAGGATAGAAAAGGGAGAATCTCTAGGTGTAATGTATTTGGATTTCCAAAAGGCATTCAATAAGACATCCCAAGAAAAGGTTCCTGCACAAAAGAAGAGTTTGTGGGGTATGGGGCAAACATGATGGTCTGGAGAGGATTGGTTAGCTAACAGAAAGAGGAGAGTAGGAATAAATAGGTCATTTCTGGGTTGACCAACTGTTACTAGCGATTGGCACTAGGGCCTCAACAACTTATAATCAATACCAAGGATTTGGATGAAGGGACAAGCATATATCTTTGCTAAATTTACTGATGACACCCAAGATGGATTAGACAGTAACTGGTAAAGAGCGCACAAGGTGTCTGCAAAGGGATACAGACAGGTTAAGGCAGTAGGAAAAATTAGCAGATGGGGTGTAATGCGGGAAACCGTGAGCATGTCAACTTTGACAGGAAGAATAGGCAAACAATATTATTTAGATACAGGGAGACTGCAGAATGAAATAACAGGGGAATCTCAGCGTTCTAGTACACAAATCGAACTTAGTATGCAGTTACAGCAAGTGATTAGAAAGTCAAATGAAATGTTGATATTTTGTTGCAAGGTGAACAGTGTTAAACTTGTGGGTTGCTTCAGAAAAGGTTCATTTGAGTTTGTCAGATGAAGTAATTAGCAGAAGAGGGTTGTGCAGGTCAGAACTGTATCCAGTTTAGAATGAGAGATGATCTTATGTTCCACATTTATACAGGCTGTACAAGGTAACAGCCCCTCATTGTTTGAAGTGGGGTGTACAGAGGAGGTGCAGAGGGGAAGAGGCAGATCTGAGGATGCCCTTATGGGTTTACTATTGGGTTTGAAGGTGGCGGCATTAATAGGTCCAGGCAGTGAGACCATAGAAAAGAAACCTTGCTTCTATGATTATACACCTGTTCATGTCTCCATGGAGGGAGAGTGTGCAGTCTGCAGGTAAATGAAAGCTTTTTTTTTTACTGGGGATTGTTACGGGGCTGAAAGCTTCATCTTCCAGCAAGATGCAATTTAAATTTAATAAGTCTCTGTTGGAATTTTGGTTTCTGTTCAGTGCTGCTTTAAGGGGCTGGCACAAGTTAATTTAGCCAGCTTGTTGGAATTTTTCAGAAGAGCATAATATCCCAAGGGGCTTCACATGGTGGCTAGCTCCCACCATGGGATAGTCTGGAGCCAGGGGATAGTTTAAAAATTTGGGATCTCCCATTTAAGGACTGAGATAAGGAGAATTAGGTTTTCTTGGATTTTTTTTAAAAAAACTCATTCATTGGATGGGGGCATCGCTGGCCAGGCAGCATTTCTTGCCCATCCCTAATTGCCCAGAGGGCAGTTAAGAGTCTTGGATGCTGATTTTAAGAATTCTCTTCCCCAGGGAGTATATATTCAGATGGCATACGGAAGGCAGACAGATAGTGAAGTTGATACCACAATCAGATCAGCCAAGATCTTATCAAATGACAGAGCAGTGCAGAGAGGCCAAACAACCTTTACTGCTCCCAATTCCTCAATTCTAATGAACAATTAGATAACTTTTCGAATTAGCACAGACACAATGGACCAAATGGCCTCTTTCCGTAATGCAGATAGTGTAATTCTTCAACAGTTTGAGATTCTGGATGCTTAAATAACAAACGCGTTCTTCTAAAATTATCCGAAAGCAAAATATTGCAGCTGCTGAAAATCTGAATAAGGAAAAAAAAAAGAAAATGCTGGAGAAACGTTGCAGGTCTGGTACATCTGTAGACAGAAACAACATTATCATTTCAAATCTTTGGACCTGCAGTTTCTCCAAAACTTATTTTAAAATTATCTAATGAGTAAATTAAAAAAAGCACATCAGACAAAAAGGTAATTAGGAGAATGTGTGTCACCGGAAGATGAACAGTGACAGAGTCACTTTACCAATTCCATTCCCAAGATGTAGTTTTCTTTTCCAAACTGAGCAGCTACAGAAGAGATTATATTGAAGAGACTCTATGACAGGCAAAGTCAGTTGGTCAGTGGAGCATGCAAGGTGCACTATGCCAGTGCAAATAAGGCTCAACAGAACAGCTTCTATTTTTTTTTGTTCAAATGACTCATATAGAATGGCTGAATGATTCAAGTTGCAGTCAGATACAGTACCAGTGACTAAAGGAACTGTGAAGTGTATATAATACTGCCTAAGCTGTGAATAAACAAAATCACTTCCAACAACAATGCAGTCGAATTCTGCAACCTTCAAATCTGTGCAAGATCACCGTGACCTGGTTAGCTCAACTGGAACCCAAAGACATGCATCTGTAACTCTTTCTGCCACTTTCATTTGCATGGCATGATAATGTAAGAAATTCATAATGCAGGCACTTGTGTCCAGGCCATAATGTGTTCAAGATCAGTCGCTAGAGTTTCGTATTGCCAAGGATCGCGAAAATCTTATTTTCGGGCTATTCTAACTACAGAAAGTTGTAAAATTCACAACTAACAAGACTGTAGTACATTTCCTTCAGTTCTGTTAAGTCAAATGGGTGACCGAGTTATGCTTTCCAATCACATACAAATACATGACCCTAGAATGGGTTTAAGGGCACAGTGGATAGAATTTCCGGCCTACATACTGAGCCCCAAATTCATTGGCAAAAACAGCTTGCAGAATTTCTAGAAAACTATCTATAAACCCCAAACTGCATTTATTTCCTCATTTTGGATGGATTTGATAGCCCAGTGTATTATTGCTAGACTTAATTCAGAGACTCAGGTGATGTTCCAGGGATCCGGGTTTGAATCCGACCACGGCAGATGGTGCAATTTGAGTTCAATAAATATCTGGAATTTAGAAAAAAAGTGTAATAATGACCATACAACGATTGTCGATTGTTGGAAAAACTCATCTGGTTCACGAATGCCCTTTTAGAGAAGGAAACTGCCTTCCTTACCTGGTCTGACCTTCATGTGACTCCAGACTCACAGCAATGTGGTTGACTCTGAACTGCCCTATGGGCAATAAATGCTGGCCTGATCAGTGATGCCCACATCCCACAAATGAATTTTAAAAATGGCTTACGAGGAAAGTACATTGACCTTGTGTTAATTCTATTTTAGACAAACATATGGCTGATCAGAGTTGCCATGATTAATGAGCAACAAGACAATTTCTTTGAAGCAATGCAGACATTAGGTGTAGAATCTTCTGTTTTATAGTCTTTTACGTTGGGTGGCAGGATTAGAAAGGGATGTCTTTCTTGTTAGCCTTTGTCCAGAGGTCATGTGCAGCTTGGCTCATTAGCTAGCCACGTATGGCTAAAATGTCAAGCAGGCAGGGAGTAGATGCTCTACCACCTGACTCAGATTGAAGGCCCTGGTGCTATTCAATGCCTAAGGTTCTGAGCAGATGCCTGCAGCTACATTTGTGGCCCTGCACCCTTCTCTTAGAGCAGCACAGTGGCTCAGAGGTTAGCAACGCTGCCTCACAGCGCCAGGGACTTGGGTTAGATTCTAGCCTCAGGCAACCGTGTGGAATTTGCATGTTTGCCTTGCGTCTGTGTGGGTTTCTGCCAGGTACTCTAGTTTCCTCCCACCAGAATGTTTCCTCCCACATTTCAAAGACATGTGAGTTAGGCAGATTGGTATTGCTAAACAAATTTGCCCCAAAGCATTCAGGGAGGTTTCAGTCAGATGGGTTAGCCATAGTGTAAAAAGCCCAAAGCAGCATTATGCGGTTGGGTCTGGATGAACGACTCTTCAGAGAGTTGGTGCAGACTCGATGGGCCGAATGGGCTCTTCCTGCACTGTAAGGGCTCTATGATTCCACAAGTCAGACTTCCACCCTCAGCTATCCACCCCACCCTGTGCACATCATACTTCAGCTTCTCACCCATTTCATCCTCCATGCCTTCTCTAATTGACAGGCCAATCTCCATCTTTGAGACTGTGTTTGTGTGTGCCAGGCAAATGAGAAGAAAGCAGAAAATACTTACTCCAAAGACCAGGAAGGAGTGTACCCTGCCAGGTGCACACCATGAACATGCAGAGTCAGGTATGTGAATTCTGTACTGTTCATTTAATTTAAAAAAGTAAAATTGGGAAGGGGAACTTTGGTAAATCAGCCTGTTAATGTGCATTTATGATATACAAAGAAAAGATGTCTTGCCATCTGGAGGGGTTTGACTCACCTCTAAAGCTTGGGAGCACCAACTTGCAAAAATTCCATCCCACCATTAGGATTGTGAATTTTGGCCTCCTTCCCAATTAATGTGCCCTGCCCCTTCCTTCCAGTCCCAGGAGTGGGACACAATACTGCCTTCAGAGATGGATGGTCTGAATGAGTCAGCCCTAAGTGTGCAGTACAGAAACCTTAAATACAGAGTTAACAAGCAGAAATTGAGTCTCTTTGGTCCCTCAATGACCCAAACATTTAGGCAGTACAGATATGCCAAGTGAAAAACCTTCAAATAGGCATGGAGACAGCTTTTACTGAGAGAGCTAACATTGACAACAATGAGACAAGTCACCTCCTTCTGTACAGTAATGTTTTACAATTCTAACAAAGAATAATGTCAGAACAAACAATGTATAAACTTTACATACTTCATATTTTTGCCTCTTCAGTTTTTCAGACAGATCAAACTTCTCTCCCTCCAGTTGCAGCAGCCAGTCTGCTAGTTCCTGCGCCTTCTCTCTAAATGGTAACAGATATTATGACAGGCTGTGTCTGATATAAGTTCTTCTACAGACTTACAGGTGTACACATCAACATCATTCAACATTTGTCTAGTTGGAAATAATTTACATCTTTCCTCAGATTATTTCCAAGGAACCCAATTTCTCAAAGGGCAGTGTTAGCTTTTAGTTTGTAAGAAATGGTGAGGGTGTTGGAAAACAATAAAAATATTACTTTAGTTTTTTTGACTACAGATAGCCCATCAAGTATGCTACGTAGTATACAGGTAGCAAGATAAATTGAGGGACCAGGGACACATCAACAAGAGCTGCTAGCATTTGTTGCAGTTAACAAACTGATAAATGGTTCATGGGTTTTGACAGCACTTGTACTAAGCTACAAATTAATCACCACAGCAACTATTTCTGCAGAGTGTCAGTTTCACTGGGAAGCACTTACTTGAGTTTGTCTTCACTGAGGTGCTCTGTATTTAGAGGTTTGCGTCTGTCTGCCAGAATCTTCTTTTTCTTTTCTCTCTCTGTTTGCTTCCTGCCACTTCGACGTATTTCAGTCTATGAAAACAGTAATTCAGTTATAACTACTTACCATCAAAACTTACCCATTCCACTTCAGCATTTGTAAAATGCCTATATAATTGGTGAGACCTCAATCTGGAATACTGTCGCGACGATACTGTGGCTTTAAGAGGTGCATTTTGTCCTGGGTTTTTTTTTTGAAGAGAGGTTTTAAGGAGGGTGTGGAGCAGTCTACCAGAGTCACTAGAGTAAACAGCTTGTGAGGCCTTGATGGAAGTTGGAACAATAGAAGCAGCATGAATGGGTGTGATCAAGCTCCCACAGACCCAGCATTTTTAGTTTTAGTTTTCAGCAGTTGCTGTTGGGGTCTTGAAGAAGTGGAAGCTATCTTTTCCCCCTCTTGCTGGGGGTTCTCTGGGTTGCACATGAGACAATCTGTTTTCTGAATTTGCCTTTTGCTAAGAGTGGCTTTATGGGATGTTGCTATATTAGAACAGTTAAGTAGTAATAGTTACTGCATCTGATTCTGTTAAGTTTTCCAATAGAATTTAGTTATTTCAATTCCTTCTTTCTTTTGTTGGATTTTAACTATAGTGCTTGAATAAAAAGTGTGCTTTGATTTAAATCCAGTAGTTTGACCAATCGAATTGCATTTGGAATGCAACACCTTCCATTTACCTTGAAAATAAGAAAAGGTGAGGGTCTAGGCTATCTTCTGAATATTTTGAGGGGGTTTGGTCTGGTCCATAACACTGCATATGGTCCTGGTGACCATGCTTATGGAAAGTTATTAATGTGCTGAAAACAGTTCAGAGAAGGTTTACTGGAATGAACAGGTTACCTTACCAGGAAAGTCTAGAAGATTTTACAAGAGTCAGATGGGATTTAATTGAAACAGAAGATCCTGAGGGGACTGGACTGATGGATGTTTCCTCCTGCGGGAGAATCTAGAACTAGGGATCACCATTGAAAACACAGATGAGGAAACATTTTCCTTTCTCTCAGACGGTTGTGACTCATTGGAATTTGCTTCCTCAAAAGGCAGTGGATATAGGATCTTTAAATATTTTTACAGCAGAGGTTCTTGATTACCAACAGGATGAAAGATTATCAGGGATATGCAAGAACAGAGTTGAGACTAAAATCAGGTTGCCATGATGTTATAGGATGATGGAGCAGGTTTGAAAGGTTGAGTTGCCTAATCTTGTTCCTATGTTACTTACTTAACTAATTATAAAAACACATTTTCTTTAGCACAATTAAATTCAAGCATTGGAATCACTAACACAACGGAATTTAAAGCAATTGACCTTGTTCATACAAGTGAATGTTAATGTACAGACTGAGTGTTAAACCACAACATCTAGTACCTTCTGCAGGTAGCCTCCATAATGTGCCATATTCGACAGAACCTTCTTCTTCTTCATATCGTCTTCTACTTTTTTCCGAAGTTCCTCCTCTTCTTTTCTCGCCTTTTCCTCCTAGAGGGCAATCATTTTCAAATTTTAAAAATAGTCAACATTATATTTTGGTCTGTTTTTATTCTTGATACAGAGCTTTGCGAACTCGAGAGTACTTGGGCTGGGGTTGGACCTTACAGTTCCTGACGTGTGCTGTGTTTCCAGTACAGAATAATAGTTGAAAAAGATTTTTTTTTAAAAATACACTCATTGGATTTGAGCAACACAATTCTGCTTGTTAATTATCCTGGAGGAGGCTATTTGAGCTGCATTCCTAAACCACTGCTGTATACAGACATCACATGATTGTCAGGAAGGGAGTTCCAGGATTTTGCTCCAATGACAGTGAAGGAACAGTGATACAGTTTCAAGTCAAGATGGTGTGGGGCATGCGGGTGCACTTGCCCATATTCCCATTTCTACACTACCCTCGCCCTCCTTGTGATAGAGGCACAGGCTTAGAAGATGCTGTAAAAGGTGTCCTGATAATAGTTTGTGGAGCATCTTGTAGATGCTACCCATGGCTGCTACTGTGCGTCAATGGTGAAGGGAGCGGTTGGATTTCAAACAAGTGGACTGCTTTGTCCTGGATGGTGCTGAGCGTCTCAATGCGGAGTATTCCATCACACTCTTGACTTGTGCCTTGTAGATAGTACACAGGCGTTTTTTGGTTTTGGTTCCGGGGGGGTGGTGGGGGGTTGGGGGGGGTGGTGGTCCAGTTCAGTTTCTGGTCAATGGTAACCACTGAGAGAATAATAGTGGGGTTTCAGCTATGGTAATACCCTTGAAAGCCAAGGAGTGATGCTTAAGTTCTCTTTATGGATATGGACATTACCTGGCACTGTGTTGCCCAAATGTTACTTGCTGCTTGTTAGCCCAAGGCTGGGTTTTGTCCAGGTTCTGTGACAAATGGACACAAACTGAATTGTGTAATCATCGTGGTATCCTTGATCGTGACCTTATGATGGAGGGAAGGTCATTGAAGCAACTGATGATGCTTGGGCATAGAACCCTGCAAAACTCCTACTGGTGATATCCTGGAGCAGAGTTAAATGGACCTCCGGCAACCACAACCATCTTTCTTTGCACTAAGTACTACTCCATCTCCCAAAGATTAAATTCCAAACCCAACCCCTACAAATTCCCAGTGACCCTGTTTTTACTAGGACTTCTTAATACCATACTAATTTCAGACCTTGATGTCAAGATCTTACCTCTGGAGTTCAGCTCTTTTGTCCAAGTTTGGACAAAGGCTGTAATGAGATTAGGAGCTCAGAGGCCCCTGGTAGATTCTAAACGGAGCATCGATGACCAGGTTAATTCTGAGCAAGTACTGCTTGATAGCACTGTTGATAACTCCTTTCCATCACTTTGCTGATGCACGAGTAGACAGATAGGATGGTAATTGGCACAGCTGAATTTATCTTGTCCCAACAAAATAAGTGTTTTTTTTTAGAAAAATGGATATTCATCTGCACCATTTGAATTTAGATGCTCTGTGATTCATTAAAATTATTAGGGTTACAATTTACCCTTTATATTTTTGGTGGCAAAATGCGATTTTGCTAGGTGCTACTTTGTTTTATTTTAATCATTTGCAATTTTAGTTATTTTCTACATCAAATCTGTTCAGAGGTACTATTACACACATCTGGAGAAGGCCGGACTTGAATCTGGGCCTCCTGGCTTAGAGGTTGGGGTACTACCATTGTGCCACAAGAGTGCTCTCAGCTGCCATTTCATTTCCTGAATGTAATAATCAGCACTCCAGTTATATACAATTTTAGTGAAGTTTATGTCTGTATCACAATTCCGTCCAAACTTCAGGAAGGTATTTATATCCCAAAGTGTACCATATGTATAAGGAAAACATTCCCACAAGGATGAATGCAGAAAAGGAATGACGTATTGCAGAAAGTTTAAAAAAAAAAGTGTTTTTTTTCAGTCCATATATAGCGGTCTTAAAATCATTAACATATAACTCTAACCATATGCATAATAAATGCCATTGATTTACCCCCCAAAAAAACTTGAAGCCTTTGAGGCCAAGGTTCAGAAATCCGACAAAATTTGTTTGTATGGCAAGCTTGCCAAAATATATAAAATTTCAACCAATTGCTCATTAGCTCCAAATATCTAAATGCCAATTAGTGTCAGCTCAGTGTAGACTTCAATGATTTAACTGATCTTGTTTCATCATGTTAGTCTGCTAATTTATCTATTTTTATTGTAATTGATTGATTAAACATATGCAAAATGTGATTTTGCCAGGTACTACTTTGGTTCATTTTAATCATTTTAGCTAATTTCAAAATCAAATCTGTTTAAGAGATGCTATTACAGACATCCTGGAGAAGCCTTGGGCATCCTGGCTCAGAGGAAGGGACACTACCATTGTGCCACAAGAGCTTTCATTGATTGATTAAACATTGGTATAACCAATTAGGGCCAAAATAAGCTTCCAAAGACATGAGAAGCCAATGCTATGAGCATGCACCATCTACAAATTTGCTGACGACACCACCATGGTAGGACGAATATCAAACAATGATGAGTCAGAATACAGAAAGGAGATAGAGGGCTTGGTGACGTGATGCAATGATAACAGCCTCTCTCTCAATGCCAGCAAAACTAAAGAATGGATAACTGGCTTCAGAAAGAAAAAGGGGAGAACATGATCCTATCTACATCAACGGAGTGGAGGCTGAGAAGGTTGACAGCATCAAATTCCTAGGTGTGACGATAACTGACAGCCTGTCCTGGACTTCCCACGTAGATGTGGCGGTCAAGAAGGCACAACAATGCCTCTTCTTCCTCAGGTGGCTCAAGAAGTTTGGCATGTCCATAAGGTCCCTGACCCAACTTCTACAGATGTGCCACAGAAAGCATACTATCGAGGTGCATAACAGCCTGGTACAGCAACTGCTCTGCCCAGGACTGTAAGAAACTTCAGAAGGTGGTGTGCACAGCCCAGACCATCGCAGGGCCCAACCTCCCATCCATGGGCTCCACTTACATAGCTCATTGCCGCAGAAAGGCTGCCAACATCAAAGACATATTCCACCCTGGTAATGCTCTCCTACAACCTCTTCCGTCAGGCAGAGGATACAGACGCTTGAACACACGCACTAGCAGGTTCAAGAATAGCTTCTTCCCTGCCGTTATGAGACTGATGAATGGACTCTCTAACTTCAAATAATTATGATCTTGCCTCGCGTACATCCTGTGTGGTGTAACCTGTGTGTATTACTTTATCCAAGTTTCTTTTCCTTCTCATCCTATCGTCTTTATGTCCTTGCTTACTGTGATCTGCCGAGACTGCTCACAAACAAAGCTTTTCACTGTACTTAGGTACATGGGACAATAAAATCAAATCTAATGTACATGGAAATCCTATGTTTGCAGAGTGTCATCTCTGCTTGTTGATGGAAATCAAATACATAAAACACAGTAGATACACAAGTATCGCAGACAGGGGATGTGAGGATGCTGTTGACATCTGAGGAGCCAGAGTATTTATTGCTTGCAAGACCAGAGGAGTGACCTACTCAGTGGGAGGACAACAGGTCAGATCCCCAAAGTATTTTGGACATTTTTAACTTCCAATTCCAATATGTGCTTAAATGTAAGAAAAAGACTGGTACAGCCAAAAATGGTTCCAGATGTAAATTAAATGGTTGCCTAGAGAGGCCAATAGAATTTAGCACCTAAAGTTTCAAAGAAACTTTGAACAGACTAGACTGTGACTTCCTGAGACTACCAAAGTAAATGGAGACTATTGACCTCCTGCTCAACTGCAAACCACCCCTACCCCCTTCCAGATTTCATTCCAATTTGCAGACATACTTTGTGTTTCTCCATTTGAAAAGTACACGACGGCAGGTGTTTAGGAAGCTAGGTTCAAACCTACTGGAGTGAACTAGGGGGACTGAACGTTCCTGGTATACCTGCCTGTATGCAAGTGTTGGTGTGCCGTGAAGGTCATAGTTGAAAAACTATCTCCTAGTCACCCCTGCACTGCAGGTGAAGAACCTCCCTAAGACAGAGCGTTGCAAAGGAAACAGGATTCTGTCAAAAAAAAAAAAAAGCGAAATAACTGAGGATGCTGTAAATCAGGAACAAAAACAAAAGTTGCTGGAAAAGCTCAGCAGGTCTGGCAGCATCTGTGAAGGAGAAAACAAAGTTAACGTTTTGGGTCCGGTGACCCTTCCCTAGGATTCTCTGTCACTCTGAAACACAGTCAAAAGGCATCAGGGCTTCACAATCTTAACTAATCTGCAAAACTATTGATCATGAAGCCAAATATTCACCTTCCAATATTAATAAAACCAATAACATCTACTGCAACATGGAAGATATCAGAGACTGATCCATATATGTTTTTTAAAAAAAAAACTTTTTGCCTTTTGGACTCCACTTTTATTTCTAATCTGTGTGTATGTGTTGCGTTAATATTTCTTCTTATAGTTAATAACTAATAAACTCGCACTTTGTTAATTCACAATAACCTGATTAATAATTGTGCTTTAAAAAAAATGGGGCTGGGGGAAGGGTACTCACATCTGAGCCTTGTTACGTTCAAACAACAGGGTGGATAAAGAAAGAAGGGAAACCAGTTCATTCCTATCACCCGAGAGGTTAACATTGGTTTTCCTGTCAGAGACGGATATGAATTGAAGATCTCCACCCCTAGACAGGTTGAAACAGATTAGCAGGAAGAGCTGGAAAGCCTGCTATTTGGAAGAACTTTTGGCCTCTTGCTATTGTCTGCAAATCTACAATATCATGTCCTAAGTGGCCAAGCCAGAAGGTGACCAATGACTCATCCAAGACCTCCAATAAAACTTGATAATTATGCAGATCTTTCCCAATATTCACCTATTGGGTGTTATTCAAGCTTACACTGAATAGTGTCAATTTTTGACCTTTTTTTGCCATCCGATGGTGAGGGAATACATTAACAATTCACTCAAGGTCTTCGTGATCTCTGCACTAACTTACAGCCACTCGGTTCAACCGCTCCTTCTCCTTTTCAGCTCGGATTCTTTGTTGCTCAGATCTCTCGGCCCTGCGCTTCTCCTGTGAAGATTTCATTTGGAAGTCATTACAAATGATAAAAAAAATTGGGTATATGCTGGCCTACAATCACAAAATATGCTAGACAGGAATTAAATTATTAAATGAACATGAACAGCCATTTCTGAAAAGATGCAGCTAGATGCTGCATTCATGGAAGACTCGTCAGTAAGATATTGAAGATATCCCTTCATAAACAGCAAGGTAGTTTGGTATTAACCTCAGGAAAAGTTCACCATTTCACACAGTTGACATGTCATCACATGACTTTCCAACACAGTCTCAACCTTGACCCTTGACCAACTGGAGCTGAACCCCAGGTTTTTCAGGGATTTCTCAGTCTTAGGAATGTTTGACTGCCATTTTGAATAGCCATTTGCAGCAAAAGCTGGGCTCCTCCCTGTGGCAGCTCTACTGGAGGTAGAACATTTAAAACAGGTGCGAGGAGCAGACGGCTTCCTAATCATCTTGGCACTTCCACTCCGATAAGTGGAAAGACAGCCTTCCCATCTTAGTGCTGAACACAGCCCTCAAGTGAGCAGTTAGTGCTCATCCCACTGTCGCTGGTATTAACCCAGTGTCAGTTCTATACAGGAAGCAATAAGAGGTGATATGGGACTCCTGCTAACACTCCAATAGGCAGCTGAGATCCCCAGGATTTTGCCTGTAGTTTCACTTCATAAATCTTACACAGACTCATCAACTAGGGCTTTAAAAACTGGGCATAAAATTCACGAACTCCACCATATTGATAGTAGTTGCTATTCCAACACATTGAAATAATCTCTGGCTGTGCAGGTCTCTGCACAACAGCTGCTGGAACAAAGCACACCACTCCGAATTATTGATTAAATTACATAACGCATACTCAGATTTTTAAGGACCATAAAATGTCAGGGAATTATGATTTGATCAGCAAGAATTGAAAATCGAGAGTACATTTTTGTGGGGGTAGTTGGCTAACTATGAGAGCGTGCTATGTTTTTACATCTGGCACCTGTATTAGTCCATAATTGAAATTTGCTTGATAAAACATTTGTTATACTTGGCTCCAACATCATGTGGATATAGAGTGGCAGTCTCAACTCCGCTCTTATGGGCCGTTGGCACCAAACAGTTTGATCTAGGTTTGGATCCTCGGATAATATTTGATTCTCTTTGGGTTGAGGCAGACAAGACATTGGTGAGAAGACCAAAATCCCAGCTCTCTGGCTGACTGCCTTAAATTTGGATACAACCCAAGTTAAATATAAATGTAAACTTTACAACACAAAAGTCTTGATATAAAAGATACACTGGTGAGAGAACTGGACATGCAATCCAGCACTGGACACTCTACGCAATTCTGTAGTCTGTTTTTTCCCATTTTGTGACATTTAGAGCTAACACAGAATGCTCTGAAAATTAATCTTTAAACTTTTTCCACACAAAATGAGGGCTTTATAAAAAGGTAGAAATTTAAGTGACAACCTGACTTGATTTGAAATGATACTTGGGAATAATTCAGTGTGCTGCACGGCTGTTAGACTTGGCAAATTAACAACATTGACTCTGGGTGCTCTGGTTTTCTCCCACAGTCCAAAAGACGTGCAAGTTGGGTGGATTGCTATGGTAACTTGCCCATTGTGTCCAGGCTTGGTGGTTTACCCATGGGAAATGCAGGATTACAGGTGGGGGGGTGGGTTGCAGGGGAATGGATCTGGGTGGGATGCTGTTTGGAGGGTCGCTGTGGACTCCATGGGCCAAACTGCCTACTCCACACTGCAGGGATTCTAGGAAACTGGTAGCATTAAGCAAGTTCAACACTTGGTAATGACTGACAGACGCTTACAATGCAACAAATAGCATTCTTAGACAATAGCATTATAGATAAAGCCTTTAAACCAAACCGTACAATTCTTTCTTTTAAAGCAATAAGTTCTTCTTCTTCCTTTTTCCTCCTCTCAAAATGGGCTTCGATGAGAGTTTGCAGTTCCAACAGATCCTTTTCCATACGTTTTCTGTGAATGTCCTACAGTCAATAAAGAACATAACACTGGATTGCTGATACTTATTCCAAGGCCTTCACTATGTAAGTAAACTGTTCCTTTAGAAACTTAGTTGTACAATACAGGGCCAACTTTACAAAAGCGCATGCTCAACATGAAGTCTCGTCCAGCAGTAAAGGGTGCGAGTTATTGGGGCACAAGCATAACAGATACAAAATCTCTGCCAAAACTCCTGATAGAGCTACGCTCACAGTGAATGCGCAATGTCTAGAGGAGTGTGATTTTGCAAAGAAAAATGAAAGAGAATTTTAAGTAAGGGAAAAGATGCTATATCATGGATTAATTCAAAATATCTTTGCCTTTATTCCTAAATTAATTATCTTGAAGGATTTATTCTTGAACTATTACTTCGATAAAAGGGAAAGTACAAAGTACAATCAATCAGTTAACAGAACGCGTCATTGCTGGTACGGACGTCCCTTTGTTTCAAGGAAAAACAGCAAATCTTTTACATCAATTTTAAATTTCATTACTTTGTTATAAACAAACAGAAGAACATAGGAAATGAAAGATTTAATCCCAGGCTGGGTTAGCATATTTACAGCGAACAAAGTATCAATTCCTAATTTTGTTTTGTTTTCTTTTAGGAACCAGGAAGTGAACAGTGTTAGGTGAGAAAGCAAAATACTGCAGATACTGGAAATACTCAGTTGGCCTGGCAGCATCTGTGGAGAGAAAACCATGGTTAAAGGGCAGAATCTTACCACCGTAGGCATTCCATCAACGTTTGCTAACTGACGCAGAGAAAGGGGAGAAAGGGAATGGGTAAAAGGGTACTACTATATTTTTCCGCCCAGAAAGAAAGTCAGTGACCTGCAAGTTGTGTTTAACTGTAGTTTTAAAAAGCTGAATATTGCACTATAGAATTTAAAATGTGTAAACAAAACAGTTTAAGATTAAACAAGACAAAAGGATAATCCAATTTGAAATTAAAACAAAATGCTGGAAAAAGAAACAACTCAGGGTGGAATGTTCCCAGTCCACGAACGATGTTGCAATTGTGAGAAAGTTGAGAATATCCAGCGAGCAGCTTCTAGGTGTCAAATGCACAATAAGCCAGAGACTTTCCACTAAAAAGAGTCCAATCTCTTACTACTGGTAAATCCTCATTTGCACATGTTATCTCCTTAGCATCCCTCCCTGTCAGCACCATAGGTTGTGAAGCTGCACACATTTACATAGACACATTGAGTAGTAACGTTCATTTCAGGTGGAGGAGGAGGAGGCAGTGTCTCACAGGGCCTCAGAGACCATGTAGGTACCACTGGTATCTTGGGAGACAAGACAACGTTGTGAACAAAGGGTCAAAGCTCGGGATGTTGAGAGTACATTGACAGTGGTCGTGACAGAACAGCAACATAGCATTAGACAATGATGGGCAATATAGAGGTGTGGTGCCTAGGTAAATAGGAGAGGGTCAGAGGTGGTGCAATAAAACTTGATAGAACTCACAGGGAGAAGTCCCCCATGAAATACGCCAGAAGGTTAACAGGCGGCTGATTTCTGAGAAGATTCAGCCCTCAGTTTTTGCAACGTTTTAAAAATAAAAAAATTATTTGAAGTTCTTTCAAGTTTGAACCTTACTAAACGGGATGAAAGAACTGAATACAGAGGACAGGCCTCCTAATTTTCAAGTCGTTTAAACTAAAATAACTAGAAAAATCACTAATTCATTCAGACTAACCCCAAAACACCCAATTTTCCTGATATGTGCTCTTGTTGTGAAGGGCAAAAAAACCCACACAGGCAGCATCATTCACAAAAATGTACCTGAATATAGGAAGAAATATACTCACATCAAAGTCAACTTTGTCACCATCAGGAATTTTGGGAGCATGGCTTGGCATAAATAACCTAAGAAAGAAAGAAAGGGAGAGAGCAGAATTAAAAATATAAATTCTGAATTTCTGCATTGACAATATGCATAAAATGTAGGGAAGCATAATGAGTTACTCAGTCACGAAATCTCATGCTTAAAATACTACCCCAGATTCCCATTGACTCCAGTCTTTGGAAAGGTTCCTTGATGCCCATACAGTCAAATGATTCTTTGAAATCAAGGGCAGTCACTCTTACTGTCATCTTTGGAATTCAGCTCTTTGATCCATGTTTGAACAATAATGTAACGATATCAAGAACTGAGTGCCAATGGTGGAATACAAACTGAGCATCAGTTAGCACAGTACTGGCTTCTCAAAAGGTATAGTTCAAATGCCTTGACGAAAGCCAGAAAGAGCACCCCAGTATTTGCCTAGAGAGGCGCTGGGATATCAATGCCATGTTGCATAGCATGGCACACTGAAGGGGCATTCACATCCAGGTGTCAATAATGTACAGCTCTCAGGAAGGCATGCAGGCCGTTGTCACATCAGATGGCAATGCCAATGGAGAGGACGGTGACAATGAGAGATAATCATGGGAGCCCAGGAATACCCCTCAGGCTAGATCCATCAGAGACCATTTAATACTGAGGCAGTTCTCTTCAGGAACCTGAAGGATCTCACTGCACTTTCAGCACCAACTGCCTCGTGAGCTGTTGCTAGATAAGCATCCATGAACATTAGCAGGACTTTCTTCCAGGAGATGTCCATCTCCAACATAATCAAATACCAACCAGTGCCCTGGACATCTGTTGTCCCCACATGGCTCAGTGCCACACCAACACCACTCTGGATTCATCAGTGTTCAGGGACTGTCCATGAGATACCCTTCCAGATCCCCCCCTGTGACAGGGTATGTTAGAGCTGACAATTACCAGGAAACAACTAAACCTCATGCCTAGCAAAAGCCTAACTGCTCTGTAAAGAATGTATCCGAGCTGAGAGAGCCGAGACTCTGCATGTGCGGATATAGCTGTTGAAGCAACAGCAAGACAGCAATTCCACTCTGTGACAAGTTTGTAAATAAATGTGATCACTGCACCAGCCACCTCCTTTTGAATGTCACACAACTGCTGCAAAGTGACAGGCAGCGTGTAAAATTTGCAACGTGCAATACAGCAACTCACCGAGATTCCTCATCGGTATCCACTTCTAGAAGGATAGGGATGTTATTTGTAAGAGTGAAGATATCAATATATGGGATATCATCCTGATCTGTGATGGAAATCATTGAACTTCACAGAGGAAATCTTGAAATAGTATCACTGCGTTTCTCTCATCGCTAAGGATAGGTCTGATACAGAGAGGTCCGATCAGCACAACTTCAAGGTGGCAACTGAATAGTCAAATAGCCTGTGATGTTCATATCCCATGATGGCCATCCATACGCACTGGTAACCTGAATGAGGGCTCGAGCGTGCCCAATTGGGTAAGCTTGGGCCACACCCTTCACCACTATTACTGTTACTGAGACTACAGGCTGCAGTCTCCAATCACTGGGAAGAACCTGCTGCTTTCCATTTCCCTGGGAATTGCACTCAACAATGACAGGTCACCCCATTCATTTCAGAAAGTCTCTGGACTATTATTTAGCAGATGTGGAAAAAGTAGCTAAAATATTCCCGGTATCCGACGCACATGGGAATGGGGATATCACTCACGAGAAATACTAGGGGTGGTTGGATGTGCTCAACTAGTCACTGCCACAAGATGACCATGTGGTTTTATAACCAAGTGCTTGGGACTACTCAAAATACCATTAGTGAGGTTTTGCTCAAACGGAGGGATAGAGAGAAGGAGAGATTGACAGCAAGATGACCAAAATGATTGGATCGGAGAACAAGGAAATCTCCTGTCCCAATAAGTCACTATACCTTGGCCAGGTTTTTAGAAGGTTAGATTTGTGATATCTCCTTTTGAATCTCAGACTACTGTATTGTGGGAACATTACCACATGCACTAGGGTGGTGCCTTTCTGACCGCTGGGGCCATGAGATGTCCAGATGCTTGGGTACTGGATAATGGGGACTTGATTGCATTCCCATTGTGACATATGGCACCATTACGAAATGAGGAGTGGTTTTTATTTGTTCACTTATGGGAAATCAGTGGCTGGCCAGCATTTATTGCCCATCTCTAGATACCGCTGAGAAGGTGGAAGTGAGCTGCCTCTTTGAACCACTGCAGTCGACAACTGAGGCTACACAGTGTCTTCTACTCCACGAACACTCACTGGTGCTCTGTGTCACCCGAGGAGAAACAGGCTGTCCATTTCAGAAAAGGTATCAAGGGAGCATGGCAGCTTTCCTTTCCATGCTGTCAGCTCTGGGGACCTGCCGGGACAGTGAGGCCTGTATTCTTGAAGGGGCAGCTGTGGTTCCTAGGACATGTACCAGAGAGAAGGGCTCTGGCAAAAATGGCTGGCGAATCCACGAAGATGGAAGGTGCAGAAATAGTTCAGGAAATCCTCTTTCTCCTGGTTAATTTCCCCATTCCTGGGTTGGCTTTCAGCATGTTTGTTATGGCTGGCTGATGGGGTGCAGCAGTTGTCTACTGCGTGTCACTAGCACCAAGGTCCTATTAGGGATACACAGCTTGTCAGGTATCCCACTGTCATACTCAGAGTGGTCAAGGCTATCGACTGAGCAATGAACCTTCTTTAGGACATCATGTTGCTCTTGGATGCACTGAAGGTGATGCTGCATGGGTCTCTCGATGATGGTGAGCATTCCCTCATTGTTGGAGTTCATGCATTTCAGTCCTCAAAACAAGGTCAAGCTCACCCCAGTGTTAAGACTCCTCCACTCGAGCACACATAGCCCAAGAGAATACTCTGTCACATGTCCACACATCTGCCACCTTAAGTACTGTTCTCGCTAAAGTGACTCCAGAGGCTCTAATTCTATCCAACCAGAGCATCATTGTCTTTGCCCTCCTTTTTCCAAAGGGAGCTGTGCACAGGTGGTCCCAACATGGAAGCCCCTCCTGCCCTCTAGCGCAGTGCCCATTACCATGTGCCACCGAGTGCTTTATCCCTCTGAAGCACTAGTATCGGTGTTGGCACAGTTTGAGCTAGTCAAACATCACGGTGCTTCCACTGACATCTTTCGCCTGAAGCTGGAGGTGGTTGCATGGTCATAGGATTTATGAGAGATGACAACAGATAAACAGGACAAGCCTTGGACCTTTTGGAGAGCGCTTACAGCTCAAGGTCACTGCCTACAATGACATCAGCAGAACACTCCCTCTGCAATCCATTCTTCCTGCTCCAACGTACACTAAATTCCTGATATAATTCATTCATTTTCCTCATGCAGCTTCACCAACAATCCCAACAATAAAAAGAGAATGCGCCAATATAACTCCAACACCATGTCTGGCACCTACTTTAGTCAATTCATTGACCTTGGCGGGACTGTGGCATGAATCACCCATGGGTGTACTGCCTACCTTTGGTCAGGGCCATCACTTTACTATTGGGAGCTCTCTTGTTCCTGCAAATATACAACACTTGAAGGCCTTTAAAAGGTCATTGTCTCCTGCATCCAGGGACTTCTCTCAAAGTTGCATTGGTTACATTCATTTGCCAATTTGTGAATGCTTGGGCATAAAAGACTGACGTGACCATCTACTCAATCAGAAAGGGGGAGTACTGTGTGCCAAGTGCAACCCTAACATTTCAGGTAGCAGCGTCAGTAGAAAACAAAAAAGGTATTTCTACTGCGCAATTCACCTTGGCTGAGTGCAGCATGTTGTGGGACTGTTCGCAGGCACAAGGATATGTCCCTGCTATGCTCACCATGGCTGCCATCTCCTGCCATGCCCTCTGGGTGATATGGGAAGGCTCCCTTCTTACTGGATACAGGGGATCCGTCCAGCCTTCAAATGATTGATTGATTTTATCATCATGTGTACCAAAATACAGTAAAAAGCTTTGTTTACGAGTGGTACAGGCAGATCACAGGAAGCAAAGGATGTACAGATCAAAAAGACTTAGAGGCATACAGGTTACATTGTAGGTTACATTATTTGAGGCTAGTGTCCATTCAACAGTCTGATGATGGCCAAAATGAAGCTGTTCCTGAACCGGCTTGCGCGTGTGTGATCAGGCTTCTGTATCTTCTGCCTGATGGAAGAGGTTGTAGGAGGTCATTGCCGGGGTGCGATGGGTCTTTGACAATGTTGGCCACCTTTCTGCAGCAGTGAGCCATGTAAATATAGAGTCCGTGGATGGAAGGTTGGCTTCCATTATGGTCTGGGCTGTGCACACCACCTTCTGTAGTTTCTTACGGTCCTGGGCAGAGCAGTTGCCATACCAGGCCATTGTGCACCCGGACAGTATGCTTTCAATGGTGCATCTGTAGAAGTTGGTGAGGGAACTTGTGGACATGTCAAATTTCCTGAGTCGCCTGACGAAGAAGAGGTGTTGTTGTGTCTTCTTGATGGTCACATTTACATGGGAAGTTCAGGACAGGTCACAAGACCATGGTCACAAGTATCTGAGCTGCTAAAACACTTCTGTGACATTATGGCATGACAAAGATAACATGGGGGCAAGTATTGTTTCTCATTTTGCGTGGAACTACATAAGCTTTGTGCTTTCTGAAGTTAGACAGCAAGGGGAGCACAGGCCGATGTTGCCTGGGCTTGCCTTATGTGGGAACACACAATAGCCTAATGTGTTCCTGAGCGGAAATAACCAAGCTGTTCTGCTTCCTTTGAGTCAGTGACTTGCAATTAGAGCCTGTAAAGGGTTATAGGCGAGGTACTTTTAAGTGCCCACAATGTGAGGGGTTGAGTAGATGTGGCACGGCTAAAGATTAAATGTAGATTCTAGATAGTTGCTGAGGCAGTGTACTGATGCAGGGATGAAATGCAGCCATCTGCATGACTGGGTACTGTGCAACTTTACCAATACAGAGTGAGGCGATGTGGCCGTCCCTCACACAAGTGTATTAGGCAGCATCGAAACCCATACTTCCCTATGGAAGACTCATGAAGGATAGTCTCCTGCAGCATTCATAACCCGTTGGTCTGCAAGTCCAGTTTCTACTCTGAAGACTGCTTTCTTGCATCTCTTACCTCTAGCCTCAATTACTGTAGCTTGTCCCTCAGAATGAATGGTTGCACTTTATAACGGAGTCCAAAATGTGAATCATTTTCCTCCTCTAGGGGGCCTGGCCCACAGCTAAGCCACTTCCCAATTTCACACAACATTCAACACAGCAGAATAAAGATTGGCCCAACAGAGATAGCTTAAATGTAGAAATTTTCTATCCACCTTGATGTCTAGAATCTGGCATTAATGAGAACACAATGATAAAGTTCACTGTCTGGTTTTTAATCAAACACCAGCTTAGGCACACATGAGCACTCATAGTTCATTAGATTTCACACTGACTAGCTGTCATGCCAATTTGATAGCATTCAGTGAATCAACTGGAGATACATGCATTTTATAAAAGGGAGTATCTTGAATCAAGAGATCTTCATAACAGATGGCTGGGCATTTGCAATTTGCTGCCCAGATCTCATTTCCTATTTGACAGATTCCACAACATATTTCAATACCATTCAGCTAGAGTTCTACAAGTGCTCATAAGTTATGACTTACTTTGGTTTCGGCTTTGTCTCTTCTGTAACAGAGAAAAACATAACTAGGATGTTATCGAATGCATGATGCCAGACTATTACATTCAAAAACTACTATTAAATTATTCACAACTATGAATGCACACATTTATCCTGAATTCTGCAAAACTTAAAATTTGGTGAGATTAAATGCAAATTAGAAGTGATACACATTCTGTTTATGGAGCGGTTTATTACTGGACTAGTAATTCAAAAGTCCAGTCCAATAAACCCAAAAGTTCCAACCTAACCAGAACAGTCTAAGAGTTTAAATGCATTTATTTTTAAAATTCTGGAACCAAAACAAAGTACCATTATTGGCAAAAATAAACTCGCAAATACATAGATGCTGTTTAGATCCTATTCAACGATCAGATTTAGACATTACTTTGACAGATTTACCAGGACAACTTATTAATCCCTTCTGTAAAACTATCCAAACAAAGAATGCTACTGATATTATTTTCTCAATTATAGACCTACAACAAAAACGGGCCAGGTAGAAGGTTAAAGACGGAAACCCTGACCTACATCCACTTCTGGCTCCAGCTGAGATTGGAAGCTGGATAGGTGACCAACTTGATGCAAGAGGGTGGGCTGCAGTCTTAAACATGTTAAATGAGGCTGTGAGCATCATGTAAACCTTCATCCTTAGTCAACAAGGTTTTCCAAACGTCAGGAAACACAGCAATTTCATAAGGTGGTGGGTTTAGCTGGCAAGTGCTTTACTTCCTAGATCCAAGTGTGCGCCTAAAGATGTCGCCCAGAGACCATCTCTCAGGAAGGATTCCAACCCCATCACAAGGTCCTCTAATCTCTCTAACTTCGTCTAATGTGTCCCGATTCCCAATTATTGCTAGGTTGTTGATCCATTACAAGACAGATTCCAATTTCCAAAATCTAGCATTTTTGGACAATCAGGGTCAATGTTAGAAATTTATTTTTGGCTGCAGGCCCGTGATAGGGTTAAGGTTACTTTAACTCTGTTGCAGGTAATCATTATGTACTGGTCAAGTCTATTTTATATTGGACCTGGGCACCCAGCAGTCTTGATTGGAATTGTACCCAGTATGCCTCCGTTTCTGAAGTACTGATCCAGTCTAGTCGAGCAGTTGAGGTTTAATATGGACATACCTTAGTTACTCTTTTGTAAAAAAAAAAAGAAAAATTATGGTTTGATTTCCACCGACAAAAACTCTTTCAATTATATATACTTGTCTGTGCCAAAGCTCTGAAATAAAAGTCCAAAATTAACCATTTGTAATCCTATTAGGTAGAATTCATTCCATATAAATACTGTCAGACAAAACAAAGCCATTAAAATTTAACATACCTGATTCTTCTTCAGCTAAACAAAGAGAAGATAGGAATTTAGGAATTTAGCAATTAAAACAAAAACATTTAAACTGTGCAATTGTGAACCTGCTATTTTATACTAGAGCTAATTTAATTTTAAGGTTTTGGAAAAAAGGGAAATCAAATTGGTACAGAACAGGTGGTTGATTTGCTTCTGTGTTACAATGTTTTAAAATTGCATTTATGCCACCCCTAACAGATTTTGAGTTAGGTACAGTAAAACATAAAACGTTAATACTTCTCTAAATTTTACATGCTTGGCAGAGCATTAAAAAGTTACAAACAATACACAGCTTAAGTAATTGTTTTAGACAGGTTTGGTTTGATTTTTAAAATCTGCAAATGCTTATATATTTTCAATCCTGTACTAGATATCATGTTTGTTGATTTCACTACTCAGTGACAACAACACAAAACCAAGTGTAATTTAAGTCAATCTATTTTCTGGGCATATCTGCAAAATAATCTATATTCATGCATCAGAGAAAACAAAAAAAAAGTGACCATCTTACAAGCCAGTCATGATTAAAACAAGAAAATTCTGCAAGGTTATGACAACTTTCACTGCCGAGACTGCACTTTAGTCAAATATGTTACCAGCACATGGACAGAGGATGTACCTTCAAGAACTGGCTGTTCAGTCTGAAGTGCAGAAGAATCAGATTCTGGGATATGGAAAGAAAAATGAGAAGAAATCTGTGTCTGGATCTGAAAAATCAGGCACATACTACACACCATTGCTCACTTTCTTTTGATAAATATACTGCTGATGCATTGGCATTAAATAGTGCCAATGAACATTCTCTCTCAATTACAGTATATAGTATAATAAATTGTTGAACGTTTCAGTCAAAATGCAGTAATAAGCTGATATAATGGATACTCAGCACCTCATGTTTATAATTTACCCTAGTAGTTTGAGGGATCATATCTTGGCAATTTCTCACAAATCAAAGTCATGCCCATAAATCCTCTAGAATACCCCACGTATTAATCAACATTCATTTTCTACCTACTGCAAGTCAGTAATGATCATTTCAAAACCATTCGAAGGTCTGCAAATACTTAAAATATTAGTTTCGTTTAGTGCTGAAATTGGAGTACGGCAAGATCATTTCTTTTCAACTTTCAAAAAAATTATGGGAGGTCAAAACGAACAAAGAGGTCAGCTGCCCCAAGCATTTTAGAATGCAAATTACTACAACCCGTCATATAAATTGCTACAATCTGCTAATAAATTGTCTTTGTTTAATAGAAAGATAACTATGGAATAAATCCAGATCAGGACAACAACTACATATTCTCCATTGAATACGGTCTTGAGATCTTTAAACGTACCCAGATACAGGTGGGAAAAGAATTCTGATCTAATGCTGCAAAGTTACAGCACCTTTCAAAAAAAAAGAACAATATTCCCTCAGTATCGTGGTATGATAAATAATGCATTTATATGCTGACACAGGGATTGAATTTGTAATCTCTCACCCCAATTCAAGTCACAACGAACTGATGCAAAGGCTGTGTTCGTGGGGACTAGTTTAAGGTTCGTGAACCAGAGACCTACAGGAGTTCACAGTGGACAACAGGACATAACATACCCAAGATTTCCAACTGTATGTGGCTCTACCCAAGAAATACCCATCTAAAGTTGGCCTTACACTAGGTTGATAGTTGGTGAGTCTTCTAAATTTCTTGAAGAGACTTCACCTTTAAGAATTCATGAACCATGTACACATAATGTTTCCGGTTTCGCTGGCTGTGGATGTGCAACAAACACACAGACATCAGGTGCTCTGCTTCAATGTCTGTTTCATAACTTGCAATGTCTTTTACTTTTTTTTTAAATAAACTAACCCACAAAAGGTACTCAATATCCTATGATTAGACCACCATTATTAACAGGACAGTGGAAAGCAGAGATAATTGCAATTTTGTTAAGAATGTAGGAAATTTTACCTTCTTCCAAGATGACCTCTTCATTTTGTGTTTCTTCTTCTTCTAAAAAGAAGAATATTTAACTTAAAGATGCTTTTGTTTCTGTTTAGAAATTCATGCAAGGCACCACCAATAAGTCAGCAAGTTTATCTAATATGCTAACAGATGTAGGACAGCTCAGATCACATATCCCGAGATTATGCCTGGTCTGTGCTAATTTCGGAAAATTCACTCAGGGTCATTTCACAAATACTTCATGTGCCAACAACAGGAGAATGAAACCATGTTCATTCTCACGCACAATTTGATTGATATTTGGTGAGCTGCCAACACTTGTGCCATTCATTGGCACTCCCTTCTTCCTGCATTGCAGTCTGGGAAGGCAGGGACAAACAAAGAGGTGGCAGGGGTTCATTCCCAAAGTCATTTAAAAGCAGACTACAACTCCTAAAAATTGGAGATGCATCTTGACTGCAATCTTCAAAACTAATCTTAATGCCACACAAGCACCAAACAACAGCCTTTACTTTCTAACCACCTCCCTTTGACTTTCAACAGCATGACCACTATGGAATTCTCTACCATCAAAATCCTGTGGGTTACCAGTGATCAGAAACTGAACTGGACCGGTCAGACAATACCATGGCTACAACAGATGAGAAGCTGGGAGTTCTGAGTCGAGTAACTCCCGTCCTGCCTCCCTAAAATCTGTGCAACATCTACAAGCCACAGATCAGGAGTATGCTGGAATACTCTCTACTTGCCTTGAGGGCACCTCAACACCACAAGCAGCTTGAAACTATCCAAGACAATGCAGTCTGCTCGATGTTGCTCCATCTACCACATTCAGCCACTGGCAGAGTAACAGGAATGTACATCACTAAGGCTCTTTTAAAAGTATCTTCCAAACCTCCACCCTTTACCAGCCAGGGGAACATGGGCAGCAGATAAAATGGCAATGTCACCATCTGCACACTGCCCTCCTGGTTACAGACCTTCCTGACTATAAATGATTGTTTCTTCACCAATGCTAGTTCAAAATCCTGGAACTCTCTCCACAACAACACTGTGAATGTTGCTAACTTACACTTAAAATACTAGAGTCAAAGCAGGCAGCTCACCATCATCTTCAAGGACACTGAGGGATAAACAATAAATGCCAATGATGCCCATATTCCAAAGAAGTGGTTCAACAGTGGCAGAGATTTTAAAAAAATAAAACAGCGCTACACCCACATTTTCTGGCACAGTTTTGCGTGTCCTGGTCAACAAAAAGGAGAGAAACAAATCTTTCCAACACTGGACAAAAGTTTCCAAGCTCAATGCTCACCACTAGGGAGATAAATGCCCTTTAGGGAAGGAAACTGCCATCCTTACCTGGTCTGGCCTACATGTGACTCCAGGCCCATGACAAATGACAGAGTTATATTTGTTCTGTCCTTCAAGTGAAAGTCTCCCCGGGTGCACATATTAGTACTAGCAACCCATATTTTCCATTCTCTATTTGAATGTATATGAACAAGGATCAACAGTAGACCAATTGGCCCTTCAAGTTTGCTCCAGGCCCACAGCAATGTGGTTGACTCATGACTGCCCTCTCGGCAATTAGTGATGGGCAATAAATGCTGCCTAGCCAGCGACGCCCTCACCCCGTAAATGAATAAAGAAAAAAAAAAAGTGTCCTCAAAAAGTCTGATGATAGAAACGCTGAGCCATGTGCTGACAGAAACGCAAATAAGCTCAGCGTATTACTAGCAAGGAAAGTCTCCTAGCTCTCATCTGGTTTGCCTGGCACCAAGATCTGATGTATCTGAACGTCCTGGATGAAATGCAATTGATTGAAGATGGATGAATGCTACCAGGAAGGCAGTCACAAACATGCATTATGCACTGCATGCTGTTGTTACACACTAGCTAGATAATCAGACAGTCAAATCTCCTTGACTGCAAAATATGTTAACAGCAATATGAAAACCTTACTATCCTTGCAAAGTTCCCAGCTCTTTCTTCCTTTGCTGCCCCAGTGGCCAATAAAAATGAATTAATTCCTCTTAGCATCGAGGACATCTGTAACATCCAAGATGCGGCAGCATAGATCAAAGCATGCTGATGCCACTTGTTTCAGCCTAGTAGAAATGTACAGCAGAACACCAGGACTATCAGCATTTACAGCCTCCACAAGTGGTCTTCATGTCCTGAGTGTGGCCTCAACCAATAGTGCAACAGGAGATTACACTCAATGACAACAACTGTAATGATTAGCTTCAATATCATTCTATAATCTTCATTACAGGTCCAGGTAGACAATATATGCCTGAAAATCCATATGGTGTACAGCCTCCTGCACCTACCTTCACTCTTTCACCCTTTTCATGTAAAACAACCAGTCTCTGAAATTATCGTTATTTATCCTCTTCATCCTCCAGCTCCAACAGCACATCTATCATAATATTAACTGTGTTGAAAGCAAAGTAAAGGAAACTTTCTAAGTCACCAAGCTAGTGACTCAGATAAGAATCAATACTTGACTTGTAGCCAGCATTCATCCAACAAAAACTCCATTAGTCATTACAATAATTAACCAGGTATTGAACTAAAACAGAGGGAAGAATCCCTTTAAATGCCATCTCTACAGGCTATTCCACATCATGTTTTCTTGGTAGAATCAGGCACAGAGCAATATCACAAGATCAGTCTGAAACAGTGAGGCTTGCCAATTTCAATGCTTCTTTCAGATGGCTGTCCTAGCTGATTTAAATCTTTTCAAATATGGCAAGAAACACACTTCCTTTGTAATATGGGGTTGTACAAATCACTTAGCAAAACAAAAATTCAATTTCTCTCTCGATGCATTCAAATTCCTTAACTTGAATGACGGGACCAATTATAAAAAGAAAATGCATCTAAGAAGTAGTCGGGATTTTCAGTCTAATAAATCATGAACAAGTGATTCCAAATGGTCGGCAAGATCAGATGTGGATATCAAGATAGCTTTTGATTGGCAATTGAGGCTATTGTGTCGCAAGGTTGGCACCTGCACCACTTAGATTAGGTTAAAACTTCTGTCAAGCACTTAGAGATTGGTTTGAAACAAAAGGATGACAGATAAATCATGCCATTTGTTAATGAAATGGACATCAAGTAAAGGGGAAGGTCTACCTGAATTAAAAACATTCTTGCACATTTGGTGCCAGCGAGACCAATGCTGCCAACTGGAAAATATGCTCCCTTGTGCTCAAGATTAATTACCGCACTTAAAACAAAAAGTGACACAAAAGAGTAAGTTTAATGACTTGTTCTGTCAGCCAAGACTTTCAGTGGACAGAAGCTTCAGATTGGAGACACACATCCCCAATTTTCTGAAGACAGACAAATGACAGAGTCATATTTGTTTTGTCCTTCAAGTGAAAGTCTCCACAGGTGCACATATTAGTACTAGCAACCCATATTTTTCCATTCTCTATTTGAATGTACATGAACAAGGATCAACAGTAGACCAATTGGCCCTTCAAGTTTGCTCCATCATTTGATAGGATTATGACTGATCTGATTTTAACCTCAACTCCACATTCCTGTACATCCCAGATAATCTTTCATCCCCTTGGTAATCAAGAATCTACCTCTGCCTAAAAATACTTTAAAATGTTGCATCAACTACCTTTTCAGGAAGGGAATCCAATGGCTTACACCCTTCCGAGAGAAATACTTCTTCCTCAACTAAGTCTTAAATGGGTGACGTGTTATTATTAATACACGACTCCTTGTATTTGCAAGAGGAAACAACTTTCAACACTTAGTCAAGACCCCTAAGATCTCATGCGGTTCAATATAGTCAAACTGGCTCTTCTAAACTCTTGAGGATACAGGCCAAGTCTGTTTAGCCTTTCCTCATAAGGCAATCCACTTATTCCAGGCACTACTCTAGTAAATCTTCTCTGAATTGATTCCAATGCTTTAACATCTTTCTGCAAGTACCTCAACCAGTGCTGTACACAGTACTCCCAATGCTCTGTAACTGAAGCATTATCTCCCTACTCTTCTTCAATTCCCCTCACAATAAGCCATAACATTCTATTAGCTTTCCCAATTAGTTGCTGTACCTGTATACTGACCCTCTACAATTCATACACTAGAACACCCAGATCTTGCTGCACCTCAGAGCTCTGCAACCATTGAATCATAGAATTCCTACAGTGTGGAAGCAGACCATTTGACCCATTGAGTCTACACCGACCCTCTGAAGAGCATCCACTCGGATCCACCCCCAACCACCCTATCCCTATAACCCTACATTTCCCATGGCTAATCCACGTAGCCTGCACATCCCATACGGGGAATCTAGCCTGGCCAATCCACCTAACCTGCACATCTTTGGACTGTGGGAGGAAAGCCATGCAGACAGAGAGAATGTGCAAACTTCACAGACAGTTGCCCAAGGCTGAAATTGAACCAGGGTCCCTGGCGCTGTCAGGCAGCAGTGCTAACCACTGAGCTGCCACCATTTAGTTGTTAAATGTATAGAGTACAATGGTTTACATACTTGTGATTTCCTAATATATGCCCGTTTGCCAAACCACTGTTCTTGGAGAATGTTCATACTTTTAATTGGTTCTCTCAGAAATTTGGATTACAGATAGCACAAATCATTCAAATTCTCAAAAAAAAACTTACTTTTGGTGACTGTTTGACAGCTTAAATATGCTTTTCTATGCACACATCAAAATATTGCATCATTTCTGCATCACTTTAATAACCAATTCTCTCTACTTCCAACTGAGGACATTTCACTGCTTCGTCACAATAAAAACAGCATAAGAAAATACACCAAGGTATGCTAGAAAATATATGTCTCCTACCTTCCAAGGCTGGTGCTTCCTCTGTGGAAAATGAGAGAGAGAGAGACAGAATTTGTCAATTTTGGAAATATCAAGCCAATTCTGATTTTTTTTTTTTTTTACAATATTTAACAGCATCAGTAATGTCTTACCTTCCACCTCCTCCCTGTTGGCAAAAGAAAAGGCACACAGGAGATATTATTCAAACAAAATAAACCATTTACATTCAACCGTTATATAGTAGATATCATTAACTCTTACTGCAGCTCTTCTAAGTCAGCTTCAGTGTCTGCCATCTCTGCACAATTGTAAAGTACCTGGCAAAAAGAAAATAAATGTGTCAAGTTTAAATATTATTTTTAAACTGACAATCGCTAAACCTCATTTAAAAATAAATCCACTGCTGCAGAAGCACAGTGTTGTACTACTAAGCTGACAGGAGTGCTGTAAGCCAGGTAGGAGCACTTTGTTTCATAGCGATGCACACAGATGCTGCAGATGATTTATTTTATAAAGCTCTTCATGGGATGTGGGCATTGCTGGTCAGGTCAGCACCTATTGCCCATTCCTAATCGTCCTCAAGAAGGTGGTGATGAGCCAGTTTCTTGAACTACTACAGTCCATATGCTACAAGTACATCCTCAAGCTGCTGTTAGGAAGGGAATTCGAGGATTTTGACCCAGCAGTAAATGAACAGCAACATAGTGCCCGTCAGGGGAAATGGTAAGTGGTGCTATTTCTAGATGTCTGCTGCCCTTGCCCTTCTAGGTGGCAGGGATTTGGTTTTGGAAGGAGCATCTTGTAGCAACAGTGTAGGCATCAATCGCAGAGGGAGTAAATGTTTAGATTGACGGATGGGCCTTCAGTCAAGAGGGCTGCCATGTCCTGCGTAGTGTTGAGTGTTGTCAGAGCTGCACACAAGTGACAGTACTCCATCACACTCCTGATTCACGCCTGTAAATTAGAGGTTTACAAAATCATGAGGGGCATGAATATGGTAAATAGACAAAAAGGTCTTTTCCCCAGGGTGGGGGGAGTCTAAAACTAGAAGGTAAAGGTTGAAGGCAAGAGGGGAAAGCATTGAGAAGGGACCTAAAAGGAAACAGGCAACTTTTTCAGGCAGAGGGTGGTGCGCGTATGGAATGAGCTGCCAGAAGAAGTGGTGAAGGCTGATACAATTAGAACATTTAAAAGTCATCTGGGTGGGTGCATGAATAGGAAGGGTTTGAGGGATATGGGCCAAATGCTGAGAAATGGGGCTAGATTTATTCAGGTCATCTGGTCGGCATGGTCAAGTTGGACCAAAGGGTCTGTTTCTGTGCTGTATAGCTTTATGACTCTAAATTGTGGACAGATTTTGTGGAGTTAGGAAGCAAGTTAAACACCTCAGAATCCCCAGTCTTTTGACGCACTCTTGTTGTCACAGTATTTATATGGCTGGTCCAGTTCAGTATTTGGTAATTGCGTTATCCCAGGATGTCGATATTGGGATTCAGTAAGAGTAGGTGCCATTGAATGTCAAGGAGAAGTTGTTTGATTCCCCATTATTGGAGATGCCATTAGAATGGCACTGGCAGGCAGATATGTTACTTGCCTCTTATCAAGCCAAACGTGAAGTTGCCCTGGTCTGTTCCACATGGATATGGACAGCTTCGTTATCTAAGGACTTGAACGGTACTAAATACTGCAGTTATCAGTGAACATTCAATTTCTAATATTATCATAGAGGGATGGTCACTGATAACAGTGCCCCGAGGAACTTCTGCAACAATACCTTGGACTGAGATAAAAACCGAAAGAACTGCGGACGCTGTAAATCAGGAACAAAAACAAAGTTCCTGGAAAAGCTCAGCGGGTCTGGCAGCATCTGTGAAGGAAAAAACAGAGTTAACGCTTTGGGTCGGGTGACACTTCCTCAGAACCCTTGGATGAGATGACTGGCTTGCAACAATCTCAATCATTTTCCTTTAAGCCAAGTATGACTAAATCACTTGAGAGCTTTTCTCCCCGACTGAGAGGCTGCTAATTGTTCGATTTGGATTTGTCTTTTTTTTTTGTGGACATAGCAGACATGAGCAAATCTTCCTCATCATCAACTTGATACCAGTGTTGAAACTGTACAAGAACAGCTTGGCTTGAGATGTAGATACTTTGGGAGATGCAAGATTTTAGTTCTATTGCCAGAATGCCGTCATGGCTTACAGACTCTGCAACATCCGATGTCTTCAGCCATTTCTTGCTATTATGTTGAGTGAATCAAATAGACCGAAGATAGTATCTGTGACACTGGAAACCAGTGGAACATCCATGTGACACTTTTAGATGCAATGGTTGCAAATATTTCAGCCTTCTATTTTGCACCAATGCATTAGAGTCCCCTCTTTGTTGAGGATGGGAATATTGATGGGGCTGCCTCCTCCTGTTGGCTGTTTAACTGTCCACTATTATTTACCGCTGGATATGACATGACTGCAGAACTCTGATCCAATTTGGTGGTTGTGGGATTGCTTAGCTCTGGCCGTTGCAGATGGCTTTTACTGGTTGGCACACAAGGAGTCCTATATTAAGCTTCACCAGGTTAACACCTAATTTTTTTGTGTGCCTGGTGCTGCTCCTTGCATGACCTCCTGCACTTTCCACTGAGCCAAGGATGACCCTTTGGTTTGACAATGGCTGTGCACATCCCACATTTGACCAAATTACAAATTACTACTGAAAACAATTCTGCTCCTGCCTATGGACTCAGAACCTGTTAGTCATAGCTTTGCATGCAAACCTTGCATTGGTTCCATCCAGGGAAATCTAACTTCCACTTTGGGACACAAATCAAGCATCAGGTCCCATATTAGCACAGGCAACGGGCCCAATGAACGTTTGGGGCTCTGACAATCTGAGACATTCTTACAGAGTAGGGTCCTCATAAATTGCTAATTTTTGCATGTGGTTTCCTGCTCAGACAAATGAACAGCACTGTGTGCAACTTGTATTCTTATTCCTGCAAAAAATGATATGGTTACTGGTGGGTTTCCTGAAGCAGTTTATGAGCCACTGAGATCATTAGCAAAGTCCTCGGAATTCCAAGATACAGGCCTCAAGATGCCCCCTAAGTGTGTACCTAGTGACAATAAACAAGCTGCTGAAATTAGCTACATGGAGATATTCAGATTTCGGCTACTGTAGGCCTATTCACTTTCGGTTTCCAGATGGGACAATAGTCCTTTATTTTAAATGGGGAAATGCTCAGTGTTTGGCGGGGGCAGTTAAATGGAATAGAAACCTTACAGTATGGAAGCAGGCCATTCAGCCCATCATCGACACTGACCCTCTGAAGCGTTTCCAATCAGACCCACCCCCGTAACCCTGCATCCTCAAGGCTAACCCATCTAGCCCACACATCCCTGGATTCTATGGGCAATTTAGCATGGCCATTCCACCTAACCTGCACATCTTTGGACTTTGGACACACCCGGAGGAAACCTGCATAGACACAGGGAGAATATAGAAACTCCACACAGACAGTCACCAGAGGGTGGAATTGAAGCTGGGTCCCTGGCACTGTAAGGCAGTAGTGCTAACCACTGAGCCACCGTGCCACCCCAATGGGACATGCAGGGGATAAGTAAGGCAAGGCTGACTAGGTAGTTACTTTTACAGCACTGTTTTTGACTTAAAAGGGATAAGAATGTTTCCTCCAGGACCACACACCTGCCTGTAACACTCCCCACCTTCCCATGATCTGACTGACAACTGGCATCATCGTTCCCGCCCTCGTTGACTGGTCTCCCTCGTGATATGATAATGGCTCAGCACCCTGAAGCACTGTCTTTACGTTTTAAATCCGAAATGTGTTTTTTTCTTTCAGACATGGCTCAGACTGTGTTGTCTGGCAAAATCCCGTGGGAGACTGGTCACATTTGGAGTATCAGGGAAACTTCAGCGAGAATCTTAACATGAAGTGATAATGAGGAGACTGACTATCTTTCCCCTCTCAGCAAAAAAGCCATGTCTTGTTGATTTTTTTCTCTTGTATTTTGCCTTTCCAGCAATAGACAAAAATTTTTTTAAAAATGACTCAACCCTGGTCTGGATATGTTAATGAACTGAGTTTTTGTAAGTAATAGCCTGGGGGTGAGTACTATTGTGTTGTGAAGGTCATAGTCAAAGAACCAACTATTAGACATCACAGCATTGCAGGTAAAATTAAATTTACATTAATGAATGCTAAAAGCCAGACAGTTAACACAACATTCAAAAGGAAACAGGATCATAGGAAGGATTCTCTCATTCTGAGTGCTGCCAACTAACCACTGTTAAAAGGGAAGAGAACACTGGCACAGTGGCTCAGTGGTTGGCCATGCTGCCTCACAGCGCCAGGGACCCGGGTTTGATTCCACCCTCGGGCGACTGTCTGTGTGGAGTTTGCACATTCTCCCCGTGTCATGTGGGTTTCCTCCGGGTGCTCCGGTTTCCTCCCACAGTCCAAAGATGTGTAGGCTAGGTGGATTGGCCATGCTAAATTGTCCATAGTGTTCAGGGATGTGTAGATTAGGTGGGTTATAGTGGGATGGGTCTGGTTGGGATGCTTTGAGGTTCGGTGTAGACTGGTTGGGCCGAAGGGCCTGTTTCCACACTGTAGGGATTCTATGAAAAGGATTTCAACAAACTGCAAAGCCAAGAATTCAATGTTTGATTCTTAATGAATCACCTAGAGAGACAGCTTTAAAAATTTACTTTCAGACACACTTATTGTTAATGTATGTGCATGTGTGCTGAGTTATTAATTCTTCTCATAGTCGGTAACTAGAACTCACTTTTTTAAAAATGAACTCAAGAAAGCTTGGTTAAAAGGCTCTGTTTATATTTGGTCCGGGGGAAGAGCATCCACAAGAGGGGGGGATCCTGCGTGAACTAACCTTGTTGCGACCAACCAAGGGGACAGGTGAATAAATAGGGCCAGTTCATCCCTCCTCTCCTGGTTGCTTAACAATTTGAGATATCAGGCTGGATCAGAAATAACTTGGGGAACTTCAGTGGTTCTATTTGTAACCCACATCATAACTCCAGCTTTCTCACATCAGTCCCTCTGCTTCTGACTCCCTGAACCTGCCCAATGGTGGGCACCATATGCTCTGTTTCATGCCAACATAACCTCCTCCATACCACTGTAGCCCCTGACGCAAGTATCTTGCTGTCACTGGCTCACCTGGATGCCTCTGCTGCAATCTTGCCCCCGCAGCCACTCCTCTGAAAACCTGAAAAAAAAAACTTTTGGGAAACTTGTACCTCTAGCATTTTTTAATTCAAAACTTGTACAGCTTGTGTGTGCAAATTTGGTTGGTGCATTTTTGGAAATTAGGTCAAACCTATTAGCCACTGTCTGGGAAGGGGCTAATGTGGTTTACAGTTGGAACCTTCCCCTTCTGGGAGGTATACTGACTTCTGTTACAAGATTATTAGTACTTTTTGATATAAATATTCCTGACTTTCACCGTTAAGACTTGATTTTATTAGTTCACACACAATTAGTGTGAGACGAATGGATCTTTCTTTACCAATAAAGATTTGCTACCCTTCATTTGACATTGGGCATAATAACCTGTTTACAACCCAATGGCAGATTATACTCAACCTGTCACACCAGCTCACTAACCCCAAACCCTTAGATCCTGTGACTCCTTCATCATTACCAATCATTATCAGCACCACACAAGTCTCTACACAATCTCCGTCTCTATTGACATAAATACCAACTATGTCTGGGAGATTATTAGCTTTGAGCTCTTTAAGCCACTTTCAAACTGCCATCCCAAGTCATTAATCACATCAGGTGCACGTTCTGCACCGTTTCACGCTCGGTTCCATCAATAAACAATATGCAAAAAAACCAGATTAACATTGTGATCACAGAACAGGTTGCATTATACAATCCCAATTATTTTTCAAAGAAAACAAACAACCGAGTTATCCAAAGCACTTCCCACAAAATAATTGAATGAATTTCTCACATAACTCCTACATATCTTAACCACAATTTAGATATGAATCTGTATGGTCAAGGGTGCAATTTGCCTGGAGTTTTAACAGGACTCCAGTGAGTAACGGCACAACTATATCTAATCAAAACTATCAGTATAAAAGTGACGACGTAACGATGTGCTAAATCATAACGTGCAGTCATTTCTTCCTTTTCAGCAAGAGAAAAAAATACAGAAAACTTTTTTCTAAACTAATTTTGTTGTATTTTTACTGCATCAATAATAACAGAAAGCAATCAGGCTGAAAGAGGCAATGGGTGGAGTGCAGTACAGTGCAGTACAGTACAGAATAGTTGTCTTACCTGAGACTGAAGGGTAGAACTACTCCAACGTTTCGAAACACCAACTTCACCTCCACCTGCAAATCGCGCGCACCCTTGTGCGCGGCCACATTTAGCGCGCACCCGTGCGACCCGTGACCGCGCCTTGATTTCCCATTGGCTGACAGGCGAGATTATATTGCAGCAAATGTGCGTGAGGCCGATTTTGTATTGCATTTGTTGATTTATGAGGGGGGGAAGAGAGGTGAAGCTGGCAGTTTTTGGAAATGTATTTGGATCGAGTCATTTTCCTTCTGAATGCATTGGCTAGGAATCAGGCTGAGCAGCTGTTAGTTTTATGAAGTGGGAGGGAGTCATCGAGTTGGTAAAGTTAGCTGCTACGAGGCAATTCCCATTTTCAGTGTTACATTCCAGATCCGATTGAAATTCCTCCGGCTGTTAGCACCCAACTGCACCGAGGGATCTGTATATGTTGAATCACACAAGTTTACAACATTCATTACATTTGTATGAGTTAGAAGAATCAAAACTAATCCTAGTGTCCTCCACTCTCAGTAGCTGTACATCCATTTTTGAAAGAAAAGCATTGATCCTGGCTCAGCCACTCGTCAATGGGTTCTTCATTAGCCTTCCACATGAAATAATTTTCACTTTCTATTTGAACTGATGATCCCTCACCATCAACTACACAGCCAAAAGAAAGTCTTTCCTTCTTTTAGAAAAATTCAGTTGATGCTCCTCTCCAGTTTTTTGGTCCAGTGAAAATTATGCCAGTCTGCCCTCATAGCATTGTTCTTCCATACCTGACATAATTGTAATAAGCTGCACTTTAAGATCCCATTTATAACATACAAACTTTTTAAAAATGCCTTTATATCTACCCAAACTAACACTAAAGAATTATGGCCTGGAAATTGTGGATCTTAGTTTAGGTTGTGTCATTGGTTAAGATCGTTAGGGACTGCTGGAGGTTAGATTGTTGGAAAACTTTATCTATAAGACCATAAGAAACAGGAATAGGCTGTTTGGTTCCTTGAGCCTGCTCTTCCATTCAATAGGATCATGGCTAATCTGAGATTTCCGATACCCACTTTCCTGCATTTTCCTCATTATCCTTGATTTCCCAGACTAATCAAGAATTTATCTCAGCCTTGAGTGTACACAAGGACTCTGCCCCCACAGTTCTCTGTGGCAAGGAGTTCCAAAAAACTTGCAATCTTCTGAGAGAAGAAATTCCTCCTCATGTCAGTCTTAAACTGGCACCCTTTATTCTGAAGCTGTGTCCTCTGGTCTTTTACTCTGTCAAGCTCCTTAAGAATTCCTATGTGTTTCAATGAGATCATCTCTCATTCTTCTAAACTCCAGTAAGTAGAGTCCCCAATCTGTTTAATCTTTATTCGTAAGACAATCCCTCCATACCAGGTGTCATCATAGTTAACCTTCTCTGAACTGCCACCAATGAAATGAAATTTTTTTTTAAATAAGAGGAACCAAAACTCTTCACAGTACTCCAGATGTGGTCTCACCAGCAACTTATACAGTTGCAGTAACATTTCCCTACTTTTATACTCCAACTCTCTTGAAATCAGGGCTAATATTCCATTAGCCTTCCTGATGATCTGCTGTACCTGTATTTTGTGCACAAGTACTCCCAAATCCCTGTGTGCTGCAACTTTCAGCAGGTTTTCTCCATTTAAATAATATTCTGTTCTTTTATTCTCCCCTCCAAATGAACAACTTCACATTTTTCCAGATTGTATTTCATTCGCCAACTTTTTGTCCACTTACTTAACCAATCGACATCTCTCTGTAAATTGTTTGTATCACTCTGCCAACCCACCTTCCCATCTATTTTCGTGTTGTTTGCAAATTTTTCTGCGGTATATTGGCTTCCTTCCTTCAAGTCATTAATATATATTGTAAACAGTTGCAGCCCAAGCACCGGTCCCTGTGGAACCCCACTGGTCATAGGTCACCAAACAGAAAAAGAACCCCTTTTCCCCACTCATTGTTTCTTGCCATTAACCAATTCTCAATCCATTCCAATATACTATCTCCAACACTGTGGGCTATTATCCTTTTGACAACTTTTTGTGAGGCATCTTGTCAACCATGTTCTGGAAATCCAAATACAACAACGTGTCCTTTAGGGAAGGAAACTGCCATCCTTACCCAGTCTGGCCTACATGTGACTCCAGACCCATAGCAATGTGGTTGACTCTGAACTGCCCTCTGGGCAATTAGGGATGGACAATAAATGCTTCCTAGCCAGCGATGCCCTCATCCCATTGATGAATAAGAAAAAAACTGGATCCCCTCTATCCAGAGCTAGTAGGAACTGCAGATGCTGGAGAATCTGAGATCACAAGGTGTACAGCAGGCCAAGCAGCATCAGAGGAGCAGGAAAGCTAACATTTCAGGTCTAGACCCTTCTTCAGAAATGGGGGAGGGGAAGGGGATTCTGAAATAAATAGGGAGAGAGGGGGAGGCGGACAGAAGATGGATAAAGGAGAAGATAGGTGGAGAGGAGACAGACAGGTCAAAGAGGCGGGGTGGAGCCAGTAAAGGTGAGTCTAGGTGTGCAGTTAGGGGGCATAGGTCAGTCCAGGGAGGACGGACAGGTCAAGGGGGCGGGATGAGGCTAGTAGGTAGAAGATGGTGGTGGGGCTTGAGGTGGGAGGAGGGGATAGGTGGGAGGAAGGACAGGTTAGGGAGGCGGGGACAAGCTGGGCTGGGTTTGGGATGCGGTAGGGGGAGGGGAGATTTTGAAGCTTGTGAAGTCCACATTGATACCATTGGGCTGCAGGGTTCCCGAGCGAAATATGAGGTGATGTTCCTGCAACCTTCGGGTGACATCGTTGTGGCACTGCAGGAGGCCCAAGATGGACATGTCGCCTGAGGAGTGGGAGGGGGAGTTGAAATGGTTCGCGACTGGGAGGTGCAATTGTTTGTTGCAAACTGAGCGTAGGTGTTCCACAAAGTGGTCCCCAAGCCTCCGCTTGGTTTCCCCGATATAGAGGAGGCCACATCGGGAACAGCAGATACAATATACCATATTAGCAGATGTGCAGGTGAACATCTGTTTGATGTGGAAGGTCTTCTTGGGGCCTGGGATGGGGGTGAGAGGGGAGGTGTGGGGGCAGGTGTAGCACTTCCTGCGGTTGCAGGGAAAAGTGCCGGGTGTGGTGGGGCTGGAGGGGAGTGTGGAGCGGACAAGGGAGTCCCGGAAAGAGTGGTCCCTCCAGAAAGCAGATAAGGGTGGGAGGGAAAAATGTCTTTGGTAGTGGGGTCAGATGGCAGATGGCAAAAGTGCCAGAGGATGATGCGTTGGATCCAGAGGTAGTGGGCTGGTACGTGAGGACGAGGGGAATCCTGTTTTGGTTGTTATTGCGGGGAGGGGGTGTGAGGGATGAGTTGCGGGAAATGTGGGAGACACGGTGGAGGGCGTTTTTGACCACTGAGGGGGGAAGTTGTGGTCCTTGAAAAACGAGGACATCTGGGATGTCCAGGAGTGGAATGCCTCATCCCGGGAGCAGATGCGGCGGAGGCAAGGGAATTGGGAATAGGGGATGGCATTTTTACAGGAAGGTGGGTGGGAGGAGGTGTATTCTAGGTAGCTGTGGGAGTCAGTGGGCTTGAAATGGATATTGGTTTCCAGGTGGTTGCCAGAGATGGAGACAGAGAAGTCCAGGAAGAAGAGAGAGGTATCAGAGATGGTCCAGGTGAACTTAAGGTTGGGGTGGAAGGTGTTGGTGAAGTGGATGAACTCTTCGAGCTCCTCGTGGGAGCATGAGGCGGCGCTGATACAGTCATCAATGTAACGGAGGAAGAGGTGGGGTTTAGGGCCAGTGTAGCTTCGGAAGAGGGATTGTTCCACGTAACCTACAAAGAGGCAGGCATAGCTTGGGCCCATGCGGGTATCCATGGCCACCCACTTTGTCTGTAGGAAGTGGGAGGAATTGAAAGAGAAGTTGTTAAGGGTAAGGATGAGTTCAGCTAAGCGGATGAGAGTGTCAGTAGAGGGGGACTGGTCAGGCCTGCAGAAGAGGGAGAAGCGGAGCGTCTTTAGGCCATTTACATGGGGAATGCAGGCGTATAGGGACTGGACGTCCATGGTAAAGATGAGGTGTTGGGGTCCAGGGAATCGGAAGTTTTGGAGGAGGTGGAGGGTGTGGGTGGTGTCACGGACGTAGGTGGGGAGTTCCTGGACCAAGGGGGAGAAAATGGAGTTGAGATAGATAGAGATAAGTTCGTTGGGGCTGGAGCAGGTGGAGACAATTGGTCGACCGGGGCAGTCGGGTTTATGGATTTTGGGAAGGAGATAGAAGCGGGCAGTGCGAGGTTGGGGAACGATGAGGTTGGAGGCTATGGGTGGGAGGTCACCTGAAGTGATGAGGTTGTGGATGGTTTGGGAGATGATGGTTTGGTGCTTGGGGGGTGGGGTCATGATCAAGGGGGCGGTAGGAGGAGGTGTCGGAGAGTTGGCGCCTGGCCTCGGCGATGTAGAGGTCAGTGCGCCATACTACAACTGCGCCTCCCTTGTCCACGGGTTTTATGGTGAGGTTGGGATTGGAGTGGAGGGCTGCGTGTTCTGTCGGGGAGAGGTTGGAGTGGGTGAAAGGGGTGGAGAGGTTGAGGCGATTGATATCTCGACAGCAGTTGGAGATGAAGAGGTTGAGGGAGGGTAGGAGGCCTTGGGGTGGTGCCTTGCAGTGCCACAATGATGCCACCCAAAGGTTGCAGGAACATCACCTCATATTTTGCTTGGGAACCCTGCAGCCCAATGGTATCAATGTGGATTTCACAAGCTTCAAAATCTCCCCTCCCCCGACCAAATCCCAAAGCCAGCCCAGCTTGTCCCTGCCTCCCTAACCTGTCCTTCCTCCCATCTATCCCCTCCTCCCACCTCAAGCCCCACCCCCATCTCCTACCTACTAGCCTCATCCCGCCCCCTTGACCTGTCCATCCTCCCTGGACTGACCTATCCCCCCCAACTGCACACCTAGACTCACCTTTACTGGCTCCACCCCCACCTCTTTGACCTGTCTGTCTCCTCTCCACCTATCTTCTCCTTTATCCATCTTCTGTCTGCC